TCTTATTTTTTTTCGGCATAAAACGTATTCTGCCAATACGGTTTATTTTGGTTTAGTTAAGTTAATTACGTTACTTAAGTTAACAACTTATTTTTTAGCAAAACGTATTACATGAATACGTTTTATTTTGAAAGACGTATTACCTGAATACGGTTTTTAATTGAAAACGTATTCTTGTAATACGTGCTTTTTATTGTGGTCGACAATATTTTTTTTTTTTTTATTTTGAAACAATGGTTGAATTTAATTTCCCACCCCATATGTATATGTTCGTTGCACTGAGAAATCAAGCATGTTCATAGAAAGTTCAAACAACTCCAATTACGAGTGTGGTCACCTTTTACATAACCAAACAAAATAATTATGCCTCAGCAAAGAGTTAACCTAATCATAACAAATTTCTTAATCGTTTAATTAATAACTCAACGCTTTTTCTTTTTTTTTTCATTTATTTTTATCCTGCCACCGTTTGACAAAGGCTTTATATGTGGCGTTGTTGTTGGAGTCAGTAATTATCATTTCCTATTATTATAGTTGTAAAATTTAAATATAGGACGAATTAAAGAAACTAAAATAAAAGATAGAACAACGAAAATATACAAAAATTTCAATCGCTAAATGAATGCACGCATATTTTGATTATGAGCCCGTGACTTGCCTACATAGCTAAATGATTTTTAACTTATCTAGTATTTGACTTGCAGGTTCTTCATCATCCCCAACATTACTCACATATATTATAAGTTCGATTTAGCCCCAGATAATATAAGAAAAAATGCCAAAGAAAAAAGAGAGGTCAATTTTAAGACTACCAACTCCTTAATAGGTTGCAAATGTCTATATATATGTTAAAATTTAATTGTTTAAGTTGTAATAGATCTTGACGAGAAGCATAAGCATGTGGCCGCAATTAATACATATTTTTGTGTAAGAATTAAATAAACTTAATGATGACTTACAATTGAAAGTAAAGTTTAATACAGGCTATTATATACACTAAAAAGGTGGGTGGGTGATTATTGTTATTTAGATGGACTACAGTTTAATTCATTTTCAGACTTGCTATTGAAAAAATAAGAAGATACTTATATGTACACAATTGAGACGCGTTATTCTGGTAAATATATTTGGTGTTAAAAAGAGTAACAATGTGGTTTGATTAAAATTGTAGTGAGAATCGTCTAGTCCATTAAGTATAAAAATTCTACACAAGAAATTGTTGGTGATGCCATGCATCCTTGTCCGTATGTTATTGGACCTCGATCTCACTTTTGGGGACAACTATAGAGTCCTCAGAAAAGAATGAGAAATAAAACCGTCAGGTAGAAAATCAGCTTTTGTTGCCATCTATTGAAAATCAATGTCGCTTTCACTGGTCTCTTGCCTTGGACGGGGAGAGTCCGTCATCGGAATTAATGAATTAGCAGTCAGTGTAGCGTTCGGTTGCGAACTTGAAGAAGACGTTTGGTTTCTCTCGATTTCCATCTTTTGAATTCACAATTATTTTGTCTTAAGAATGTTATTTTGTGGTGTTTGCGAATGTTAATAAAATGAGAAAGAAAACGATTAAAATAATTAAAATCGAGGCACGTAAGCTGTGACGATCTAAGAATTTTACGAAGGGGGGTGCGATTTAAATGTTAAATAACGAGCTTGTAGTTTAAGTAGAAACAACTCATTTCTTATAAAAATGTATTTACTTATAAATATAAATATCGAAATTTGTACCATCAAGTTTGTAAGAACTAAGAATCCGTGTCACACTCAAACTTTAAAAAAAATAAACAAAAAAAATGAGATTTCATGTATTTGTAATTTAAGTTCAACATTTGTAATTTATGACTTGGTTTTATAAATTACGTAATCGATTTACAATTAAGAGGCCGAAAGAGTAAATCATTATAAATATTTTTAAAAATTTATCTAGAAATGTAAAATATAAGAACTGTTAGTATATTTATATTTTATACATTGAAATTTAATTATTTGCATTTTTATCCATATTTTGTAGTGTTTTTTATGTGTATATATAATGATTTAAAAAAATAAAAAAATCATGGGGGCCCGTGGGCCACACCTGGACCTCATGTAGGTTCGACACTTCGCGTAAGATTTCGTTCTTCTTAAGACGAAATAGCCCTGTACGGTCACGTTTTATAGCTGACAACTTTTGACTTAGCGGTAAATTAAATGCACAAATCTTTAGCGAACAATACACTCATTTCGAAACTCTTAAGATAGAAACGAATTCAAAAGATAGTAGATGATTTATGAATTTTGTAAATAATGCAAAAGAGCTCTTAAAATATTTATCTTATGAATAATTTCATGTTCATGGGTATTATCAAATGTTTTTGGACATCTCCAAAGGGTCCAATATGTCAAAAGACACATTTCGTAACGTGCTCGGTCGTTCAAAACTGAGTTGGAACTTTTCCGGCATGAGCATGTACGTCTGGGTCGCGAGCTCGTCACGCCCAACTGATGGGTGTTCGATGCGTCGCGCCCACAGCGGGGCCTAGCGCATCGGGATCTTGTACACGCTCGTCAGAACTTGGAATTGCGTCCAATTTTTTCCTACTCGCCCCTAACAAATCCTTCTGGAGTTCTAGAATGCATTATAGCTCGTTTGACTTGTCCAAACATTCGACAATTACATAACTTTTGTAAATCCAAGAATCTTTATTTTCGAGTTACATGAACTTAAATTCTCCCAACAAAGCATGTCGAAGAGTTTCTTAAGAGTGGCACACTATCTATTACTATATAATACGGAGAAGAAAAAATGTTTGAAAAATTATTTCAAATTCCCGCTTAAAAAACTGTTTTTCCCCCTTAAATTTAATTTGAATTTTTTTCATCCCCTTTTTTTGCCATGGATTTCCCTTATCTACAACATGATTAGATTTCAAATCTTTTCAGTTCACATTACAATTCGATTTTAATTCGGGATTCAAAATTTGATTAGATTTTTTTTAAATATGTAAAAAAAAGAGAATCCCCTCTCTCTCTCTCTCTATATATATATATATATACAAATTTGTGATGAGTTGAATTTTAAATTCAATTTAATATTAACAAATGTATATTTTATGTAAATAAAATTTAATAGAAAAACAAAATTAAAAAGATTGTGTGGTAACATTTTTCAAAATAAATAAATTATGGGAAGGTGATTTTGTTAGCAAAAAATTCAAAGAATTTTGTTTGGGTTCAAATTTTGAATACGTGTATGATTAGTTATAGATAAATGAATCCAACATATTCTAACTACCAAAAAATATGGAAACACATTTCCTTATTAAAAAATTCAAATTCAAGAATGTGAGGAGTTGAATTTTAGATTTAATTTGAAATTAACCACTAATGTATATCTTATGTAAATAAAACATAATAAGAAAAAAAAATTTGTGTGGTAACATTTTTCGAAAAGTGTGAGGAGTTGACTTTTAGATTCAATTTAAAATTAACCAATGTATATCTTATGTAAATAAAATTTAATAAAAACAAGAAAAATAGAAAAAAATGGGTGGTAACATTTTGGAAATCTATTACTATTATTACGACTAAGAAAAATTGTTCAAAAAACTCAAAAAAATTATCTTAGTTTCCCGCTTCATATTCCCGCTTTTTTTTTCGTTTTATTACTTTATTCGGTAAAGTTTTTTTATTTATTTTTTTCATAATCCCGCCTACATTTCAATTGTAATTTATTTGGACGTATATCAAAATCTTTTTTTTTTTTTAATCGATTTGGTAGGAATCGGATATTTCCTTTTTTTTGGAAGGGAGTTGATATAAATCGGATAACATCAATTTAAATTAATTAATTATGAAATTTAATTTCCTTTTTTTTTTCAAATCCGATTTATATTATATAGATAGATTTCACTTCCTTTTTTTGTAAGCAATTACCTTTTTTTTGTAAGCGATTGTTTCAATTAAACGTGCACTAAGATCGGGTTGACCGAATTAAACAATTTTGAATAATGTTAAATTAATCGATTACTATTAAATTAATTTTATTTGATTTTCACGTCTAAAATTTTCCAAAATACTATTTTTATTTTTGTGGAAAATGGCAATTGGATGAAAAAGTCAAATTCAAATTAAAAAAAATTGTTATTTTGAAAAAGATATTTTGTAAACCTTAATTAATAAAAATATGGTCAATGATAACTTTAAATACGACGGGTAAATATGGTCAATGATATCATAAATTATATTTTATATTCGATAAGTTCAACTTAATTGATGATTTTGTTTGTTAATATTTGCTTAACTACAAAATATTTTAAAGTTTATAAAGAATCTCATTTTATATAGGTTCTTGGTATTTTTTTATTTGTACATATTCATTTTTCATCCCATATCCAAATACAAATTTAAATGCGGATCTTACATGTTTATTAGAAATATATGTATATTTTTTCAAAAAGTATGACGATCATATAATTAATTTTATCATATATCATATGTTGGATGTTATTAGTTTGGTTGGGGACACTCATTATATTCAAATAAATAATTTATAATTTTTCATATTTGGTATTTCTTTTTTTATAATAATAAGATGTTAAATATAAATAACTATGTTTAATATAAAGTCTTAGAAAAGGTTTTAAGTAAAAACCCCTCCGTGCAGCGCACGGGATACACACTAGTTAAGTGTTTATTTATACACAAATTTTTATTTTTATTTTCAGGAAATTTGTAGCTTACAGGCATTCTTGATTTTGAAGGTACAGTAACTACTGTCCCCTCCGACCAAATTACTGTAAAACGAAATAATCCGCATCACCTGCCTCTTAGTCAAAGTTTGCTTCTCCACACTTCACACCTTATATTTTTCATAAATATGGGCAGCAAGACAGTAAAATTATGCACATAGATGCCATAGCATTTGAGTACAATCTGCATTCTTGAAAAAACGCATCAAGGCTGTAACTCATGCACTCATCAAGTTCACTACAAAAGAAACATCACCGTCAAACAAATTGAAAAAAAAAAAAACTCTTTCGCAGAGGTTGATAAACCATCAACATGAGCTATTGATGGTCGAGACAACCCAGATTTACAGCGGATATTGAACATTCAATGTGAACATAGTATTAAATATTATAGACACCTCAGGACAGAAGTTGCCGAAATAAACCATCCAAGTGATGAGGTGTAATACTACAACAGCCGCGGAGCTAATATTGCCAACAAATATTGACAGATACAAAACTATTCAGAGTCAGATGAATAAGAAGTCTATTCAGAGTCAGATGAATAAGAAGTCGAGCCTTGCCGAACGCTCTTAGTTGGGGCTTTGGATTTGGATGTGCTGAATGAGGATTCACCCTCATAAAAGATGACCTTTGCTTTAGCCAACCTCTCTTCTAATTCCTCTGTACTGAAGTCATCAGTTCCCCCAAGCTCGTCAAAACCCACCTAATTTGCATCCAAATAGGACAAATAAATAAGAAGTAAATGAAAAAACAAATTTTATCAGGTAAACCCTTTTTCTTCTTCCCCAATGAAAGCCCAAACATCAAAATGATTAGCAGGTAGTTACCACATAATCCTCCACTTTGGCATTCTTCACAAGAGCAAGGGTCGGGAGAACAACAATCCGTAGCTTCTCACTCAAGTATGGACTTTTCTCGGCATTAATTTTCACAAAACGCGTTTCGATATGTTGCTTTGCCAGAATAGACAAATGCTTGTCTACAACCTGCAGTTAATCCGTGTTGGAATACATCAAATCCTCAGGCATACAGACATCATATGTGGGCAGCATTATGAAATGGCACTCATGTTTCAATATGAGGATCTAGGTTACTTATGTTTCCACAAATTTTAGTAGACTAAAGAAGAAAAAAATTGAACTTCCTATATTGTCCTACGGCTCTTTGACTCGGGTATCTCTTAGTTATTACTACTTTTGGTTAAATGCAGTTACCCGCACTTCAAAAACCTCCAGGAAATGCCTGACAAACTATACCAGCTTACAATACCTGACAAACTTCAAATGAACCTGCAACTTTGATGAAAATTTATATTCTTTTCCCAATCAGTATGTCCTCCAATCCCGGATAAACAAAACAAATTCTTCAAAGAAGCTATAACATTCCTATTTAACCATGACCCATATTAATGCCCATCACACTCTATTGGCTCCAGCTTAGAGAAAAAAGATCAGTGCCAAACATTTCAAAAACTCCATGACCAGATGAACAATAAACCAAGAATACAGCTTTCAAATTTAGACCACATTAATCTTGTTTCCTTACAACCAAGGATCTATAAACAACACACACATGCTCAGAAGTCAGAACTAAACAAACACAAAGGAACCGTCCACACCACTCCAATCAATCAAAAGCAGAGACACCAAATAACCCAATTATAGCATCATTTTTACCAATTTCACCGGAAGTTTTTCAGAACAAAATTGCGGAACAGATCAGGCACGCAAATCTAGAGAATCCGTACCTTGCAAGGCCAATTCTCGCGGTAAAAATGGCAGACGACGCGCTCGCTGGCCTTGACGACGGAGAAAAATTCCTTCTCGTTGGGGATCTCCGAGTACTCGCCGTGGCCGAGGCCGACCCAATGTCTCCTCTTCTCCGCCATTTTCTTCATCTGCTGCAGCCTTCGCTCTCTCAGCACTTCAATATCGTCCAAATCCAACCGCTCCAGCGCCGCGATCTCGTCGTCGATCTTGTCCTCCACGGCCTTCGCCACCGTCAGCACTTGCTGCTCTATTACCTGAAAGATTCACATTCAACAACCGTTTCGGGAAAGGAAAAAAATTCGATTCAGCAAAAATACAGATTCACCATTGGCGCGCTTGCATACCTCTTGAACTTTTGAATTCTCCATGGCTGATACGATTGGAATTGCTGCGAATATCTGCGACGAGCTGAAAATGTAAGTGGAAATCTTTCTTCGAAATTGAAAATTGAAATGAGAGAGATTTGTGCCGCACGGGCTGCTTAATGGAGCTTAGTTTTCTTCCTGGACTAGGATTTTATTTTCCTGGACTAGGACTTTATTGGGCTCATCTAGACTGGGCTTGCTTAGATTGTATACGGACAAAAAATTAAAGTTGGTGTTCCAGCCCAAATATTCGACAGGCAAATCGGGTAAGGCTAAAATTCCGTTACGGAATCATTCCGTTAGTGTTTGTAACCGTTAGATCAACAATCATTGACAGTTACTTGATAATCTAACGGTTACAAATCCTAACGGAATAGTTCCGTAACGAGATTGTAGTATTTTCCCAAGCAAATCAGAATTCCAAATTCTATAAATTGCTACAAAAAGTTCCTTATTAAACAATTAATTCAAAAATTAAACCAATAAATACTCTCTCTCTCTCATTCTCTCTTTCTTTTCACATTTTTTCTCTCTTCTTCTCTTATCTTCTTCTTCCGTGTCTTCTTGTTCTTCTTCAAACATCATGAATGTCTTGCCTAAGAATAAATTACTGAAGCCACGCTTGGCGTGGCCTTGAGGACGCCTTTGGTCACCTTTATCCGTCACCTCCCGACGCAGACCTCTCGAAAGCCACCACCTCTCAACCTCCTCCCTCGGATAAAGCCCGCCAATTGTTGAGCCGTTCCATCGCCAATCAGTTCCCAAATTCGAGGCTCGATGTGCACGCCGCTGGTGGACAAAGCTGCCGCGCATAGCCTCGCCGTCAAATTTGGTGTTGTGTGAGTAGGTGAGAGGGAGAAGAATTTTGATTTGATTTTTTATCTTAAATTAAATAAGTAGAAGAGAAAAAAATTGATAAAGTGTGATGTTTCGAGAGAAGAAAAAAAACGAAGAGGGAAAGAAGAAGAAGAAACACAACTAAAAAAGATATAAGAAAGAGAGAGAAAAATGTGGGAAATAGATAGAAGAAAGAGAGAGAGGTGAAAACGGTTAATGAAAAGTAATTTTGTTATAAAAAAAAAAGTCAACAGAATATTTGATGGATATAAGTGGAATTACTAATAGGTTGTGTTAATAATGGAATAAAAAAAAGTCAAAATTGTATAGTAGTGTCATTATTTCGGTATTAAACTCGCACATCGGTCCAAGTGCTAATCAAGTGACAGTGCACTCGGTCACTGTGGACTCAGTTCGATTCACTAAAGCTCGTTATATTTGAAAAATAAGATATTTATGTAACTTTTGAATTATTAATTTCGCTTGAACTGAGTATGACTCGTTCAGTTTAAACTCGGCTAGTTTATCAATTCAATTAATTTATAAGTTGAACGCAGTACAACTCAATAAAGGCTCGAGCGAAAGATCGATTATCAAAAGTTCGAATCTTGACTCTTACTTAACTTATGTGCATCTTTTGCCCTTCAGTATTCTTTCCTTGTTTTACTTTGGTTTAATACTTAAGTCAGTTTTAGAATGAATTTAATTTAGTTGTCATTTGTTTATACATCTAGCATCACAAATTACAAATTCACCATAAAATAAAGGCACTTAAAAATTGTACATTTTACTAGCATTCACAATGTTAAACAAATTGGATTTGAGCCCATAACCAAAAGGTCCCATCATCGCATAGGATGAAATCTTTATTTATGATAGCAAAGGAAAATTGATACTTTGATAGCGATGAGGTCCTAGGTTTTAGTACTATTCTGTAATTATTGTGCCAATGTTGACCTTAGGCATTTCAACTGCTGGGCTCCATATGTATACTTACTAGTAGTCAAAGAGCTGACTAAGGTCAAGGATATTAATTTTGGTTCAAGTAGTTATATATAAAAATTCCGTAATCAACAATTTTAAACTAAAACACACAACAATTTTATTTTACTGGAAATAGAATATAATTAGATGTAAAATACTAAAATCACATTTTAACGCAATTAATTATATTTAACATACTATTGCTACCACAGTCTCTCTCATGCCCTGGGCACCCGTTAATATGGGTTTAGTAAAAAGCATTTCTATTTGGCTCTAATATATAGTACTCCCTCTTATTCATAATAAGTGTCGTTTTGGGAAGTTACACACTAATTAAGAATAATATTTTTGCCAATAATAACCCTCATTAATGAAGATAGAGATGGATGTTTTAAAAAAAAATGAAGAGAATATGAAAAGACGTAGTGTATTTATTAACTAAATGAGGGTAATAATGGAAAAATAGGTACAAAAGATCCAAAATGACATTTATTTTGGTTAATATTTGATAAAGTCAAAATGGCATTTAAAAAGAATAGGAGGTAGTAGTAAAGAGTTTCTTGTACGGTCCATTTTGGTAATTAATTAAACGTTGAAAGCACACTTTTTTTCTTAATAATAATAATTGTGAAGCATCTAATCCATCTCAAGCCAATAATGACCATTTAATTAAGCAGATTTAAGAAAAAAAATGACTAATGAAGTCCATTTTTATTATAGATTATCTAAATCCAACTAATTATTACTAACAACAAACACAAAACAGTTAACTTAATACTACAAAACACGAACCCATAGGTTTTATTTTATTCTCGATATTACAGACCAAACAAAGCCAATTAA